GGGGCGGGTTTGGTATTGCACGTCGCGGGTGCGGGGCGGGAGCGGGTCTTGAAAATCAGACCCGTGCAGGACTCTGCCCTACCCCCCAATCCACATGTTCTCAAAAAATAATAAATAAAATAAAAATAAATAAAAATAGATGGCTGAAAAAAATGGCTATTAGCATCAAACAAATGAAGCTACAGACACACTCCTCATTTCTAAGGAAAGTGTAGCTTTTCCAAAATAATATTATCAGAGCATGCAGTGACCGCTCCACGTGAACAGAGGAACAAGTGTAGGCGGATGGCGAGAGAAATGGTTATGGGATTGAACCCATGTGCGGTCCTCATTAGACCAACAGAGAGCCAGCAGCCATGGTGACTGTGGTGCATCCCACATTGGCAGCAAGATGGACAAAAACAATGGAGAGAAAAACACACTAAAACATTCCAGGTCAGCGTTCAATAGGCAGACTTTAATACATGAGCTTCACGTCATTTGCCTTTCAAATGGTCTTTCAAAGTTGAGGCCAGAGCAGAGTTGATGACACGGGAAGGGGACGAGGCTCAGCGCTGGAAATGAGTGCAGCTCCTGCTCATATGAACAGTTGTGCCCCGCGGCTACAGCAGGCCCCCTGAAATATTACCTATTATTCTCCTCTCGTTTTCCCACTGTCTTAGTCACGGAGATGAGTGAGCGCACTGGCAGCTAATAGAGGAGGAAAACAAAGGGTCGGCCACGAGATGAAGATGACACCCAGCACCTCCTGCTTACATTTCAAATATTTTCCGTTCAGTTAGACCGCTGGTTACTCTCATTCAGCTTGACATATAGTTGTATCTTATATAGATGTTTCCCTGAACTCTGTGTGGCCCTGGCTTTACCAATTTCCTGTTTGATGGAGGAAAAACCATCTTTTCCAATTGTTTTACATTAACAGTGTGTTACTACTTTGCTGTGTGGCACAAAAGAGACAACAGCCACACAACATCTGCTGTCTTCTTCTTCTACATTTTTACAATTGCTGTCTTTCTTTTTGTTCTTTTCTGCAGCTTTCATCGCAGCTCTCTACATCGACAAAGACCTGGAGTATGTGCACACCTTCATGAACGTCTGCTTTTTCCCCCGGCTGAAGGTGAGCCCCTATTGATAGTCGCTCACCACTTGCACCTGATCAATGAGCCGCTCCGCCGGGCACCTTGCAGCGAGAGCACCATGGAGATGATTAGGAGGGAGCTAATGGCCCCGGCATCGACGCACGGCCTGAAGTGGTGCTCGGCTGGAGAGTGACTCTCGCTGACTTGATCACTATTTTAGTCTCCTTTAGATAAAAGCTTTGCAGTGTCGTCCGTCTTTCATTTTTGGCTGTTGACAGCGTCCACTTCTGGAAATCATTGGATTGTCCGAATATAAAAAGAAGAGACTAACATTAATAGAGCTAGTGGGGGGAAAACCCAAACTATCATACTGTCTCATATCTAGTGGTGTAAGGACTACTCAGATATTCTACTTAAAGTAAAAGTAGAAAAACATTCTCTGTTACAAACAAAAGTCCTGCATTTAATATCTTAAAGGTCCCATGTCATGGCCATTTCCACTGATCATAATTCCATTGTTGAGGTCTACTAGAATACATTTATATTGTGCAATTTTCCAAACTCACATTGGTTTCTCAAACAGCATCTCTGTAAACTACGTGTATTCACTGAATTTCACTCTCTGCCTTTAACGGCTCGTTATAGCTCCAATAGCTCCAGCCCCCACCCTCCCTGTGAGCACAGTGTGCTCTGATTGGTCGGGACGTTGTGAATCGCGCTAAGCTCCGTGGAGGTGTGGTTTCCTTGTTTAGCGATACACAGGAAACACAGCCAAACTCACCCTGAGCACACACAAAGTCACAGCCGAAGTAAAAACAATAAGTGTGGCTTGATATTGAGTAAGAAAAAGGTTGATAAACGCTGTGAGAATGGGTCTGCAGAGAGAATTTCGCCGCGATCCCAACTGTCTGTTATCAGCCTGCAGCCAGGGAGGAGAGATCAGCAGAGCTGCATGCACTGAGTGTGTGTGTGAGGAAGTCCGTGGATTGGTCAATTTGGACCAATCAGCGGGGGCTTAACGTAACGGCTCCTCGGACGTAACGTAACGGCTACACGGATTGGTCCATTTGGTTCTGGGTAACGCATGACATCATGAGTTACCCGGAAGAATCAATGGACAGTGACGTATCTCCAACGAGGCGTTTTGGGGAGGTATTTTCTGTGTTAGAGTTTTATTCGCTACAGGGTGTACTTTGAGGGATTTGACTCTGCAGTCCGTTCACATGCATAAAAACCTTCATAACACACAAGGGGACGGGTAATAACCAGAAAAGCATGACATGGGACCTTTAAAGCTCCAATGTATCCTATTTGGGCAATTTATTTTATTGAACAATTAGTTTCTTTTTGAAGAACGAAAACAGGAATTGTTGAGTTAAATTTACTCCCCAACCCCCTCATTAAATTTCATAATGCCCCCCCATCAAAAATCCCACAAAGTCCCCATTCAAAATGTTAAATAAAAAGAGGCCTTCTCTCCAAAAAGGCCTTTAACATGCACATTTCTTCAAGCTAATCCTCTACATTTTGCTAAACCTTTCAGTTTCCCCCCCCCTATGGCTCTCTGGGCCTCATCAACTCCAACTCTGGGTCTCCTCTTCAGTGTCACTGTCCAGCCCTTTGAGGATGGCTCTGTGTCAGGCTCAGGCCTTAGGTTTGCCGATGGCAACCAGGTTCTTCCACTCTCACATTTGTGGCCTGTTGCGAACCTTTGTGTGGTCTCATAGCCATGCAGTAGCATGTGCTATGGCATGGATATCCAAAGTGTACTTGAATGGCATTTGTTTGTTTTAGTCAAGATTATGCTAAAATATACTTTCCCACGTATATTTAAGTTCCCTATTCAGGGAGCCAACCTTCGATTTTGAAAATTCCCAGTTTATTCCATAATTCCGTTTATTCCCGTTAATTCCTGTGGAAAAGTTTCCATCTTGAAAATTCCGGAATTGCATCCCTACGCCCTCCCTCAACCTGTCTCGTTCTTCCTCTCCTCTTGGTCCCCAGCTGCTGAACTGGGCCGTGGCGTGTCCTCTGGAATAGAGGATATTAGACAGCGGTAGGATGGAGGTCGCTCTTTCCTAATATCTGCATCCTTTGACACCGATGCCAGGCACCTCCCTGCAGGCCCGCATATCTTCCACAGACCGTCCTAATGGATGAGATATTAAGGCAGGAGCCCTCCGTCTACCCGCCGTGTCGTAATATCCTCTATTTCCAGAGGCACGCCACCTGGCCAAGTTCAGCAGTGGGGGACAGAGAGGAGAGGAGAGAGAGATCAGGGTTGAGGGAGGCGCTTAGGGATGCAAATTCCGGGAATTTTCAAGCTGGAAACTTTCCACAGGAATTACGGGAATTAAACGGGAATTTATGGAATAAACTTGGGAATTTCGAAAATCGAAGGTTGGGTCTGTATAGGGAACTTAAATTATGTTGGGAGTATTATTTTAGCATGAATCTTGACTAAAACAAAGAAATGCCATTCAAGCTACACGTTGAAATCCATTGCCATAGCACACTGCTTACTGCATGGCTAATGAGCACCAAAGGTTCGCACAGGCCTCACCCAAATGTGAGCAGTGAAGAACTGTGTGGCCGCATTCGGGGCAGAACCTAAGGCTCTTTGGCCTTTGCACAGAAAGCCATCCTCAACAAGGCTGGACAGTGACACTGAGAGAAGACTCATAGTTGGATGTTGATGAGGACCAGGAAGGCCATTGACTGGAAAGGGTTAGCCAAAAATGTAGAGGATTGCTTGAGGACGATGTGCATGTTTAATGGGACTTTTGGAGGGAGAAGGGTCTTTTTATTAAACATTTTGAATGGGCTTGTGGGGATTTTTTGGATGGGTGGTTGCATTTATGTAAATGTTTAATGGTGGGGTTGGGGGGAGTAATATTTACTCGAACATTCCTGTTTTCGTTCTTCAATGAAAGAAACTATTGTTCAAGTAAAACTAATTAAAACTTGTCTGTTGCTACTAAAAGGTCGTGTCATGCTTTTCCGGTTTTACCCGTTCCCCTTGTGTCTTATGAAGGTTTTTATTGCATGTAAACGGTCTGCAAGGTCAAGAACCCTCAGTCCAACCCTGTAGCGAGTAAAACTTAACACAGAGAAATACCTCCCCAATAACGCCTCTGTTGGAGTACGTCACTGGCTCCATTGATTCTTCGGGTACCCATGATGTCATGCGTTACCCCGGAACCAAAGGGACAATCTGTGGAGCCGTTCGTTCGCGGAGCCGTTTGTTAGCGCCCCGCTGATTAGTCCAAAATTGGGACGATTCCGACGGACTTACCTCACACACACACTCATGCAGGCGCTCTGCTGATTGCTCCTCCCTGGGCTGCAGGCTGTAACAGACAGTTGGGATCGGCGGCAAATTCTCTCTGCAGACCCATTCTCCCAGCGTTTATCAACTTTTTCTTACTTCATATCAAGCCACCACTCTTTGTTTTTACTTCGGCTATGAATTTGTGTGTGCTCGGATGAGTTTGGATGTGTTTCGCCTGTGTATCGCTACAAGGAACACACCTTCCACGGAGCTCAGCGCGATTCACAACGTCCGACCCATCAGAGCACACTGTGGCTCACAGGAGGGTGGGGGCTGGAGCTATTGGAGCTATAACGAGCCGTTAAAAGCGGAGAGTGAAAATTCAGTGAATACAGTAGTTACAGAGATGCTGTATGAGAACCAATGTGAGTTTGGAAAATTGCACAATTAATCTATTCCTAGTAGACCTCAACAATGGAATTATGCTCGTGGAAATGGCCATGCATGGGACCTTTAAAAATAAACAATAAAAAAATAAAAAGTTGAAATGTCATGTTTTTTTGTTAATTTGCATCGAATATTTTCACAATTCCCCAGCTTACCTTTCCATGGAAACTTTACCGGAAAGTTTCTCGCCCCTTGCAACCGTAGGCAGGCCATCACGGCTACAAGAAAAGAAAGATGGGCCTATTGGGACCTCATCATTAGAGGACATGAAGTGCAGAGGGAGGCAGAGGGAGAGCAGGGAGAATCTTAATATGGCTTTTTTCTTTCCATAGGAAAAATTAGCAGATAAATAAATGAAATAAGTACGGCAATATGAAATTTATGATATTTTATGGAACACATACAAATAAAACAACATTTAAACTATGTGATCACTCATTCAGCGACATGACGAGGAGCAACCCCCCGTACCCTAGGCGTAGTCGGACATGGATCCTGGACCTCGCGCGCTGGTCCAAATTCAACGACCACCTATGGTCTCCCTGAACTGAGTGAGCTGGGAGCTACATTTGGTTACGAGGTGGTTGCATCCGCAGCGTGATGTGCAGGGAATGCCTCTCCTCTTCTCTCGCTGTCTCAGATTGTGCCAGGTTAATGACGCTCGCGGTTCTGCCAGCTCGATGAGCAGAGAAGAACGTCAATTGGCACGCGTCGCCTTGCTGCAACTAACGACTCGTATTTCAGCACAGTCTACAAGTGCATTATAAGACTCCACGAGAATGAGACCTGAAACAAACACCCAAAACCTACAACAACTCCTCAACTATTGCACAAGCGATCTCTTCTCCTCTCAGCCTTCCAATTGTCCGTATTCCGCGCTGTCTACACCACTCCTCAAAATACGACTGGGTAGACCAGTGAGCCTCCCTCAGGGCAGACACCGAACGCAGACAGTTGGTTCGCGCCAAGGAGTACTGCTGAGACGTGCACTCCGACACATTCTGCCCGCGTTCATCCGCCCGCTACATCAACATCCACTAGATTCCTCTTCTGGGCCATGATGTCGTCGATCCAGTTGCGCGCCCCACTGCACAGGATGTTGTTGAGAGGACGGGCACTATAGTCTGTTGAATGATTCTGACATTTTTTAATGGCAGATACCAAGTATATCCGGCATAATATAATAAAATATTCGTAAATTTCATAAACCTAATACCCCTAACTCAGCCTAACATTTATGTTACTGCATATGCTCAGTTGCACAAACAACGGTGCAGATATTCTCATAGATTAACATATAATTTTATTCATATATATGCTTTTCCTCCTCAAAAAATAACTCAGGTCAGATCTACCTCTTCGAGTATTATTAAAATGTTCTAATGGTGATTACTTACTTGATGGAACAAAGGTTGTGGGTGCACCTCAGCGCTGCAGAGATGCTCCTATCGTGTCTTCATCACCCCGAAGGCACGCTCGATGATGGAGCGGCCCGGGAGTGATGGCTGTTGAAGCGTGCGGTTCACACACCTGCAAATGGCCGTTTGTAGGGAGGTGATGAGGGGAGTGGATGTTGGAGGCAGGGGTAGTCTGCGAAAGATATAGTGCCCTGGAGGAGGGTAGAGTGGCCACTCATATAGAGTGGGCTGTGGGGGAGACTCTAAGAATCGTGGGACTGCCCCAGGGCCACCCACGTACGTGTCGTTGAAGCGCGGCCCTGATGGTCAAAAACAAGCACGCAGCAAAAATGTAGCTTGGCGTTTCCTGTTTTTTAAAGCATTGACATCAGGGCACTTGGGCACGATGCGGATGCAGCCGTTCGATTCTCCCAGCAGGCTTTTCTGAAGGCTCTGTGTCTGGCCAGCCCTGCGAACCCACGCGGACATAGCCTCCAGGTCTTCTGCTGTCCCGTGGGGAGGTGGGATTGAACCTTGAGAATTATCTAATATCGGTGGTGCGTCAATGGTCAACCCCTTCCAGCTCACTCTGTGGCGATCCGACCGATCAAATGACAATTGCCGTGTACAGGATTGGAACTCTTAGGCATCCCAATCCAACTCTGGATCTAGGACACTCACTCAACTGGAAGAATAGCAAACACACAACTTGCCCAGTTCCAAGAATCACGGTAGCATTTCAGTTTATAAATTATCAATCGATTTGTGCAGACCACTGCCAGCCTTGTTCCCCATCGACCCAGGAGGATTTCCAGTGCGTACTTAGGATCTGATTCAACTGCTACAGCTAACTGAAAAGTCAGATAAGGCTCGTGCTGTCGCTGTGTCACTGGAAAAGCAATGTCCCCCGCGACGAGGGCACCGCTTATGCCGTAGTTCCTGACGAGTACATGGGCCTTGGGCTACCAGGCCTATTTACGGCGAAAGAATAAAATAGTCCATAAAAGGGCGTATGATATAAGAGTATGAACTTAAGTGAAGAAGTCAAGTGTCGTGTCTTGTTTAATGTGCTTAGATTTAAATCATTATGTCATACTCTATTGACAACCAAATAAATTGCACATATAATATAACTTTTATGTGTTATGCTAATCGCTATAAAGCCTCTCGATATATAGGACCTTACCCCATAGCCACACAACAAATCTAAATGACCGACTAAATATTATACATCAGCCTAATACTCAACAACATCGAAATTCATCAAAGTTGTTTATTCAGAAATCGTTATAATGGGTCTAAATATCTTATCTGTTAGCTAAAACAACTTACACCAGGCACACGTACATATATCCTGTGTTTGTGTACTTACAAATACCAATCCAATCAATACCTATAGACATCGACTTCAGTAACAACTAAAATCAAAGCACCCATAGATACCACCACGCACCCAAAACCATAACTAATTTCGAGAGCCCTATATATGCTCCATTGCACCTACAGCCATCTAACAACCCAAATCAAATCAACTATCCCCATAACCTACTCACACAATCGGTACTACCACCACATCAAAAATCCCAACTACTACTAACAACAATCGAAACTACACAGTCATAGAATGACTCAAGCCAAGAAGTCCTCAACATAACTTTCTCTAAACCAGTCATAATACTATAGACGCATAATATTACGATTAGCTGTTAGCTAAAATCCGTTATTGAAAAAACTAAAACAAAAGTACCAGATTTATTTAAAACCTATCCTTAATCTAATCATATAATACTAGTCTACTTTCATGACTCATATATCTTTACCTGCGACATGGTTTCTTTAATCTGAAATATCGATGGCTCAAGCCATCACTGCTAACTCCCCAACACGCACGCGCCTGTGCAGCTGTTCGAGAAAATTACTCGAAACATATNATTATATGTTATATGTTAGCAACCAGGAAATGACACCTGTAATGACAAACAGATGAGAATGCTGCGTGGGGTCTGGGTGCCGTGTTGGCGGGACGTTGCGGGGCTCGCTGCTCCGACCTTTGAGGCTCGAGGAGCGGACAGTGTGAGCTGGTGTCGTTTCCTGGTTGCGGCGTGGGGTCTGCGAGACAGCGAGACACCGCGAAACTCAGGCTGAGGGCTCAGGCTCAGAAATCCATTTTGACCAATCCGCAGAGCCGTTACGTCACTGCGACCGTTACGTCAGTATGCCCCGGAAGAAACAAATGGAAAAAGAGAAATGTCTAACGAGGTGTTCTGGGGCAGCATAGACAGGTCTTCTCTGTGTTAGAGTTTTATTCGCTACAGGGTGTACTTTGAGGGATTTGACTCTGCAGTCCGTTCACATGCATAAAAACCTTCATAACACACAAGGGGACGGGTAATAACCGGAAAAGCATGACATGGGACCTTTAAGTAAAAGTACAGAAGTATTAGCATCAAAACAACTCAGGCACTTTCATTTCCCATTTTAGAATCATATTCAATTACGGGGCTTATTTTGTCCATGCATAAATGTGTTCATCACGCTGTAAAAGGTTGATCTACTTTTAATTACTTTATATACACCTGCTGGATACTTTTAATTATATTCAAGGTTTATTGTCATAACATATACAAAATGTAATGTATGAAAAACTTAGATCCTAGGTTCATCAACAGTGCAAATGACAAGACATAAGAAAATAATAGATATAAAAAAACAAAAATGTTAATTAAAACAGTGCAAGCTCAGGTGTTTAATAGTCTTATGGCTTGTGGGATGAAACTGTCTCTGAGTCTGGTGGTTTTTGTCCTGATGCCATGCGGCAGCAGACAGGACAGTTTGTTGCTGGGGTGGTGGGGGTCTTTTATAATCCTGTAGAGATCCTCCATGGATGGCAGCTCCGTCCTGGTGATGTGCTATGTGTAATTACATATGATAGTTTATTTATTTGTTTATATACTTTTTGTTTTAACTAATAATCTGTAATCAAAGTAACTACCAACACATTTTTTCAAATAAATGTAGTGGAGTAAGAAGTACAATATTGTCTTCAAAATTATAGTAGCATAAAATAAAAATACTCAAGAGAAGTACAATACTTGAGTAAATGTACTTTAATACATTACACACTGCTCATACCTAAACGGGCCTACACACAGGCTCCTGTCTGAGCACCCACAGAGCGCGGACCTCTCCTTGTGAAGCTGCTGCAGCGCTCTGATGCGCCATGCTAATTGCTGTCTTGGTGAGCCTCTCCAGGGAGAATCCCCGGCGTCATGGTCGCTGCAAGAGAGCACCTCATTTCCACTTCCAAGAGAAAGTTGTGAAACAGCCAGCGAGTCCCCTAACACAGCCCGCTGGAAACCACAGTGTTGCAAACTGTGCTGCTTCATCCAATTTGGACAGGAATAGAGAAAGCAAAACCAGGGACATAAACGCTGCTTCCCTTATGTTCCCCTTTTTTTTCCCTCACGAAATACAGTGCTAAAAAAACAAACAGCGTAGCTTATAGCTGCTCTTTTGAAAGAAGCCAAATTTCTCGGCTTTAGGCTAAAGGGGTGTAGAGGCCCCCCAGAGAGAGGGGATGTGGGAAGGAGAGAAAGGGAAGTAAAATCGCAAAAGGTAGGGATGGAGGAGTTGTGGGGGGGGGCGGCAGTAAAGCCAGAGTAGGAGAGTGCGAGCAACAGAAGCAGAAGCACTCTTTGTAGAAAATTAATAGGAGCAGACAGTTTTGGATTCAAAGTCTGCCTTTTTATGACAAGGCTGCCTCCCTGTTAATGGAAGGGCTTTTAGAAGTCCCCCTTGGATAAGAGAAATGTATCAGGGCTGCACACCCGGGACACTCCCAGACGCTCCTTATATCTGGCCGGGGATTGGCTTTTGTCTTAAGTAGCCTGTGATTTGTACTCACCGTAAAGACACAGATGGAGAGCCAGTCAGGGAGCGAGCAAATAAGTGAGTGCTAAAGACGAGGGGGGAAATGGTGGAAGAGGGGTCATGGCAAGAATGAAATAAAAGCATGAGCGGCCGCGGGAAAGGGCTGAGGAAAGATTTCTCTGATTCGTTGAAAGGAGTGGTTTTATTACATGTGGGTTTTTTTTATGGTTTGTGTGTTGTAGGAATTTATTCTCAACCAGGACTGGAATGACCCAAAGTCCCAGCTGCAGCAGTGCTGTTTGACCCTGAGGACAGAGGGCAAGGAGCCCGACATCCCTCTGTACAAGTAAGAAAACACTGCAGGCGTTTGAAGCTAGCTCTGGTGTTAAATTATGGAAAGTTAAACAATCATTTTCTCCCCAAGGGTAACATTTTGTGTTCCCTAGGTTAAGGGTTGTATATGTTCCATGTAATATAAGGGTGACTTTGCAGCTCAATAAAAAACACCTGGCCTTTACTTTTAGCTAACCGTGTATCCAATACCCTAACCGACAATTGTAAGTCCATTACTTTGTGATTTGAACAATTGTTCCCCGTATGTATCCATGACTTCTTGATCATAATCTCACCTTTTTATGTTATTTCTATCTTCTATTTGAAAATTGCTATTGCAAACTTATTTCTGCTTCTCTGCTAATTCTAACTCTCAACTTGTAATTTTCACTCATACGTCTTTCAATCATCGCAAGCATGTGATACACCCATAGAAACTAAAAACCGTTGGAAACATTTACTGTTTCCATAGTAACAAACTGACGCTGTTAAACTGTGTATGTGTTAACACGACAGAAAAGGCACGTAGGTTGAGTCCACTACAATATGATTTATTATACAATGTATTACATATTTATATATAGAAACTGAAAAAGCTGATTTCAATGCCCTGAAATAACCTAAACTCGTGCACGTGTATACTGCACATGCAAAATAAAAACATGTATTGTCCCTCTCTTCATTGTGACCCAGTCCACATTTGAGATGTATTCAGTCAGGCATCACACGGACCAAAATACACATTGGGAGAGATGAAATGGCACAAACATAATTTACCGGCGCGTGCTCTTCGTCCCTGAACATTGTGAATAGCTGTGTAAAGGTCTCTGTTGTTGTGATATATAAACACCCCCAAAGAGACCTCTTATTTGACAAAAGGTCAAGGAGCAAGTGTCATTTGACAGAATGCTTTTGAGAGCTGCCATGAAGCAGCGTGTTTGTCACCATGGAAACTGACAAACAGTGTTTTCTCAGAGATGAAAAAAAGAGGTCAGCGGTACGCACAAAGGCAGTTAGAGTCGGAGCAGTTTTATTTACAATGAACTCCACAGTCCAGCATTCATTCAGTTCCCCCTTTGTCTCTTCCTAGTATTTATTTGAAATCTCCTTTAAGCCATCCTCTTTTTATCGGTCTGTCTATCTGCCCAACAGATGTAGAATTGCTAGAGGGAAACTTTTGGATTTTAATCTTTGCACACCATTCACAAAAACCTACATAACTCACCAAAAGAAAAGGAAAAAGCCCAACAACATAATAAGGCCCCTTTAAGCTATCCCCCAGGAATTCAAGTATTTTTTTTTACAGCCTGTCGGAGGAATACACAGCCGATGATCTTGGGCAACCTCAAGAGATGACCGGCTGGTCAATAATCCTGAATCATAGACCCCTCGGTTTCCTGACGCGGTCGTTGGCGCCAAGTCAAGACAGACCGTCCTTAAGGGTCCGCTTGAATTTGTTTACAAGTGTGAAGAGTAGAGAAACAGAGGGGTGAGACAAGAGTGTGAGTCACAGCGAAAGAGACTAAATGACCGAGGGAGGGCAGGAAAGGACACAGAGAGGGGGGGAGAGGG